TGTTTATAAAATATGGACTTAAATTTCTTGTTTTTATTCTTATAATGACAATATATTGTCATTGAAAGTAGTATAAGTCCATTTGTAGCTAAAAAATCGTTTATTTTCTTTACCAACATTAATAATTGTTATTGTATAGTAAATGTCACTGTACAATAAAATTTAAAAGGTTTATAGTGCTAGAAGCATCACCTGAATTGATTGACTATTGCCAATATTTTGAAATTGATTTAAACGCAAACCCTCTAATATCTCGATACATACATGAAAAAATGGACTTATATCACTTTAAAAAATAACAGCTAAAATAAATGGCTGTTTAGTGCTTCGTTCACTATTCTTTATCACGTATCTTCACTCGTTTGAGTACTTGTTATGGTTTATTTTTATTTTTCTTCATTTGATGAAATATAAAATACATTACATATTGTTTTTTCAATTTAAAAAATTTTGAATTATATCGAATGAACTTACGCCATTTCAAATTTCATGATAAATGTAGTAATTAATTTTGAAAGTGGCTCAAGTCGATTCATGGCAAGAAGACATATTATACACTTAATAATTATTACTGTTTTAATAGGAATTGTAAATTTAACTCCTTTAGTTACATTGCAAAAGTGTGATATATTGGTATCCTATATGTACAAGTAATATTTCTAATTTCATTGAAACGCAAACTCTTAAATGTCTAAATTTAAACATAAATGGACTTATTGTTAGACCACGTTTAAAATAAACGGTTCAAATATTATTTTTAAATATTATTTTCAAATATTATTTAGAATTCTCGTGGAACGAAAAACAGAGTATGGAATACTTTGCGTAAATTGAAGGACGCATATATATTGTCATCACCTTTTTGTAAACTGATTTTTTCTTTCCCTCAAAAATAATTTAAACGTTCTGAATCAATTTAAACTGAATCTTTTTTTTCTTTCATAAAAAAGATGGCCTATTTTATACCTATTTTATTCGTCAATATGCTTGTTCTTTTGCAAATTCCGATCGTACTTTTTTGTGATGGTGTATTAACGTAGGGAACTATTTTAACATTCTCTACTTTGATGTTTATTTTTAAATATTCATAATTCTTTTGTACTCTGCAATACTGACTGCTATACCAGCTTCTGGTGCTACTTTGTCTCGCAATTAACATATAATTGGATGCAGGCTTTAAAATGGCACGTCTACCTTGTAGAGATGTCACCGTTAAACAACAGCCAGAATGTTTTTTCACGTAATTTTCAGTTTCTCAAATAATTATACCTATACATCGGATTCTTTTTAATATTTCCGAAATCTTTTTTACAGAATGGTTTTCTATTTTCAATTATTAAATACATGAATCACTATTACATTTACCATTTTGCCTCGAGGCATTTCACACAACAAAACAAATAATTACTTTGACACAATTAATATTCAAATTTCTAAACAGACAGCTTTTCTCGCACTGAACACTGACTGCTTCAAGTAAATAGTTTTATAGTTACAAGAGCTTGATCCATTTCTTACTTGTATCTGTTGAACTATAACTTTAGATAATGCATGGAACTATAACAATACTACCATTCGAGGTAGTACTGATTTATATCAGAAGTAAAAAAAGAAGAAAAGTATTTAATTGAGTACAACTTGTTATTATATTATTGCATGTCATAGTTCTATCGCACACTGCACGACAACGTACAACTGCATACAGATAACTGTAATTCACATTAAAATAAGCACTTAAGATGAGATGTTATTCCATCAGACTATCTCTCGTTCGTTCACGTAGGTATTGTTTACATGCAAAAAATGTACATGCGTCGATAATATTCAAAAAGCCGCTGTAAAATTAATAATTTACAAAAATGCTCATTTATTTTTAACATAGATAAATAGAAGAACATGATTACTATATTTCACAATTTTAAATTTAATTTCTATAACATGTATCGTTAAAACGATTAAAAATGTATATTCCTAAAACTGTAGTATTACCAATAAATCTTTAATGAATATTTATGTACAAATATACAATCGCAGATTAGACGTAACTAGAAGACGGAACAAAATATTTCAAGTTCAGGATTTTATCCACAAATTTTTTGCAAAAGGAGTTGTTTTCAAACTTCCAGACTGTGATGATGAATTAAAAAAATTATATAATTCTTATTTTCGTGTCACGGTACTTTTATAGCGCTGTCCTTGACACTTGCTGAATATTTATAATTTTCATTACAGGTCAACCTGTATGAAGTTAGCACCCCATTTCGAAAATTTTTAAATTCTAAAAGTTGTTCCAGGTTGTTCTAGACTTGTTCTAAATTGTTCCAGAAGATAAAAGTTTTATACTAATTATTTTGATAAAAAATGAAAAAAAAAACAGTTTTTTGGTCTGGCACCCCATTTTTCGAAAATCAAATTTTTTATGGTTGTTCCAGATTGTTCTACTTGTTCCAAATATTGTTCCAAAGTAATAATTTCCCAAACAAAGTATTTACAAAGATATAATAAAAAAACGATGTCGAGCGCGCAAAGAGTATTCTTATATATTCGGGTATTATTGCCATTTTCTAAACACCAAATTGCATATTTGATCTAATAATTAACGTAACAACCTGGAACAATTTTTGCTAGAACAAATTTTTTAAGGGCACTTTACTCTTGGAAGTAAACAAATTTTTCCCGTTATGTACATATTACATATACAAGATGTTATGCCTAACACAGTTTGGAATTTTTCTAGCATTTACAACTATGCAACAAAATTATTAACAAAAATTCATTAGTATCATGTATTCAATAATAGCGATAATAATCAATTTTACAGTGGATTATTTTCATAACAAAACCAAGGCCATTTTGGACTTTATAAATAGAATTATGATTTTACGTAAGCCTATCCTCGTAAACATCCTACATGAAAAAGTATTACAGTATAATGTGAAAGAAAGTAACAATTCAAATATTTAAATTTAAAAATGAAATATCGTATACAAAAATTCGATAAATCTCGTAAATTGCTGATTCTTATTGCACTTTTAAACACTTTGTTATGTAAAATATTGTACACGATCCAGGTAAAAAATGAAATACCTATGTTACAAAAAAAATAATGAATTTGTAATATACTTTATAATATGTTTCATGGAAGGGGTATTAAAATGCAATGTTAAAAAAATAAATAATGTATGAGCTTTCTCAAATTTTTATATAAAATATTTTATCTTTGAGTTGAAAGTATTCCATGAATCGTTAAACGTTTTAGAATTGGACGCGAAACTTGTTAACATTGTGCCATTGTACTGTGAAGGAAACTGTAAGGTTCTATAAAAAATGCCGAAGAGATTTTGGTTTCACAATGAGTAAAACATACTTTAACAAGAAATTGTTATTATCATATACATGTAGTTTCAATAAATAGCCAATAACTTTTTTGCTGTTATGATGCCACAAAATGGTAGAAGAATAGCGAGTCGTGTTATATATAAGATAATAAATACGATGCAACAGGTATTTATTTAATATACAATATAAAATATCGATGAGTCTTTAAACGCGTTTCTTACAAATACACTAACGTAGTTATACAATATTTATGCACAAAACAATTTTATTGTAAACAATCTTTCATCGGAACAAGAAAACGATATTGTATAAAACTGATATATATAGAAATTTTTTTTCTTAGAGAATTGCATGAGAAATATGTACCACGAAAAAAATTGATCTGAATTAAAATTTCAAATGATTCATCGTTGTGAACTGTATTTATCGATAAATACAGTATTAATTATTCTTTTTAATTTGCTCTACATATTCAGTCTATTTTTCTTTATTTATATTCTTGCTTTCTGATACAAAATCACTATAGATTCGTGTAACTTCAAGGATACATTTAAACTGTATCTTTTTAAGTTTTAATTAGAGGATAAGATGAAAGAGTCTGATTAGAAAATAAATGGACGTCGACTTTAAAATTCTTGCAATTCATGTTATCAGACGTAAGAACTTTTGAATATACTCGTAACTGAAACGTTTGTAACTTTCACAAAAATTGTGCTGCTGAAGAATAATGATTTTTCCACCCTTAAACGCGGACGTTGTACTGCAGAAAACTCGCGAGCGAGAAAGAGCAGTGGACGAATCTAAGCTCCCGTTTCGTTCAATATTTGAATTTCGGAGCAAAATATTACAGTTATCTAAATGTTACATTTAAATAATTGTTCTAACTAATTCAATTCTAAGTAAAAAAACTATTTTTATGTACTATTATAAATAAATTCAATTTTTAGAATGAATCACAATTTAATATATATCATATTGAAGAAATGTATATTTAATAAATAAATGTTTTCATAGTTACATAGAATTTTAATCTATAAGTATTGTTATTGATATCTATTTCAATTGGAAGTACGATAAGATAAAACACTGTGTAAGTACTATTTCTCACATAATTACAAAAACAAAAACAAGATAACTTGAAAATTTGTTAATATTAAATTAAAAATTATAACGAAAATTTGTATTTTTAGAACTTTTGTTTCCAAGTGTTTAATGATGTTTCGAGAATAATAGACAAAGATATGATAACATTTTATAATGCTGTTTTGCAATTAAATTTAAAGTTCGTCAGATAAATGATAACGTTAAGCTTTTTATCAAAGTTATGACGAATCTGAACATGAAAAATATACATAAAAATGGGATTAAATTTTTCAAACAAAAACTATACAATAATAATAATAGTAATAATTCTTTAATATAAATTAAAAATCTTGACAATATGTTATCAACTGTATCAAGTACTTAATGTTTAATTTGTTTCTCTATGAAATAAAATTTTATAAATAAAATTAAATAAGAGAAAAATTTTGTAACATTAAAATTAAAGATGAAAGAAACATGTATAATTTCATTATATTTATGTAAGTAAAGAAAATAACGGTGTACACACAAAATTTTATATTAAGACATACATTATACATGCTTACTTTAATGTACTCTAGAGAGAATATGTTGGCACCTGGCCTGCATATGCAAGGTATGCAATAGAAAGTGTTTAAAATTCTAATGTGTACTTATCTGATGCAGTTATATTTTGAAAGAAACATACATGTATGTGATTTGTAACACGATTTTAACTGAGATTTATAAGCATAAATTTGATATAACCTTAAATATAATCACAATAAATATTTAATCAAATAATATACTTGAGACTGAAATGCCACTAGAAAACGATACGTTCTATAGGAATAGCGAATAACGTGAGATATCTCATTCCAAAGTTTTCGACTGCGTTTAAATAATCAAAATATGTCGGTTAATATAGCATCGACTGTACTATTGAACTTGAGCATTCATTAACATGTAATTGCGTTAACAAAGAAGTATTGCAAATAACTTCTTCCTCGCTTTACTTTGTAACATCCGGCATCAATTATTGAACGTCAATGTCTACATCTACGTAATTCATCTTATTATAATAGAATAAAAAACGATCGATAATGCAACTTCCCAAAACTGCCGTGTAACTCTATTAACAATAAAAAAATCTTGAACTTACCATTAATCAACGACTCAAGGTTCTCGTGACTAGGACTCATGAAACTTTTCGGCACAGGCACGCCAGCAATCAAACATTTGATAGCTAATCGCCACCTGCTAGCCTCCCGCAGATTATCCTCATACTTGTCAAAGCTGCGAAACCGTAGAGTGATTGTCGTCCTTTCGCGTCTCTTAATGCCTTTCATGCGTGCTTTCTTCAACGTATACGCATAAATATACAAATAGGCTGAGGTGTCGAACTCATCGTAACACTGAAAAGCTTCTACGGACTCAACCAGCTTGAATTGCGACCTCGAAGTACCTGGACCACAAACACAGCTTCCCGCGCTTTTACGTTTCGAACGCATACATCTACATCCTATTATGTCGTTCAAAATGATCGTTTCAACCTTAGTTGCACCATTATTGTCTTTTTCTAAGCTGAGACCCTTTTCCGTCAATCTCACCTTGTAATAAGTGTTTTTCTTGGATGTAACGTAAAAGGTTTCTTCGAGGAGTGTAATAGAATGCACTTGACCACCGTCCTCCATGACACGCTGATGATTGCTTTTCATTCGATAAGAAACACGAGTTACATTGACATTGGTCGCATAGACAGATCATTATCATAGCATTAAAGGCACTGAGTATACAAACATCTCTATCTTGCCTTATATGTAAATTTTCTTGTCTTGTCACTTATGCAGGTAGTTATTACTGTGAAAGATTCCATTTACAAAAGACAACCGGGTCGTGATCACTTAAAAGCTCAATCTTCGCTTCTGGTTTATTTTATTTCCTCGACAAATCTTCTTTTATTTAATTGTCTCATATATTGCATACTAATTTATCAAAGCACGTGTATTTCTTGAGTAACGTACTTGTAACATTATATGTTATTAAAGGATACGTTTCACGGAAAGTCGATCTTTAAATTGCACTCGTATAACACCGTTGATATTCCTTTTAAATCGTATAAGCGTGATTAAAAAGCTATATAATTCTAAATTATGAATAAATGAACTGTACCATTATCTTGGTTACTTCGATACCTGCGCGAAATCGAGCATCAAACTGTTTCGAACACACCGAAGTCACGGTATATACTGTTTATCAGAAACTTGAAGTCTGATGGACGAATTGCTGGAACACCAACAGCGCTATCTTGTACTCAAAAGGTGTACTACACTCTAAATAAACATTGAACGAATGCCATGGAACATTTCAAATAGTAAATTAATTAATTTCCTTACTTTAATAAAAGTTGGAAGTTAATAAGGAATTAAAAGTACATATTAATACATTCTACGGAATTCAATTAAATTTATTTTTATTATGTCGTATTCACCTTTCTTATGACATGTTTATTCTTATTTTAACAATAACTGGATATTTAATAAATTGTTCTAATATTATGTGTAATAAAATTGTAATATATAGACTGCAAATATAAATGAAAAGAATACAAATTTATAGGCATTTTTCTTAGATAAAATCACATATTAAATTGATCTTTCTCCATGTAAAATAATATTTTAATAACTACACTTCATTGGATTAATAATGAAAAATTGACTTAAAAATGATTAACAAATACTTTATTTAATGTAACAAAAATGCTAAAATAAGTTTCCAACAGAAATTTTATATATTCAATATTCAGTATTTATATACCAGTCTAAAGCATTTGCAATTAAAAATAAGTTATACAAAACAATTTATATATTAAAATGTAGTATTTTTTTAAACATACTGTATGCAAAGAACATATTTCCTGATCGTCGAGTTTTTGCTCATTCTGCGCATGTTAACTCTATACATTCTATAATCAAGGATAATGCGCAAACGCTCTTATGACGTTTGTGACTTCGACCGTGCATATCCAGTGATCTTTTATTTAGTACACATACTTTCCTAGGTACGATCAAGTAATAAGTAATAAACCACATTTGGTTTATATTTTTTTATTGTCTGTACTTTCTTCATTCTACTAAATTGCAAAGAAACAATTTCTATAATACCTACTTATATTTTATTTCTGCCAATTTTTTCCTGATGACGAACACATCACACCAAGCAAAAATATTTCCAACCATACCGATCGATCGCTGTTTGCTGTATCGTTCTAATATACTTTATATTCAAAATTTAGATTTTTGAGATGTTCAACTTCTACAATACTATATTTTCAAATTTCTTAATTGTTCGATTCACAAGTTTCTAACTTCCTAAATTTCCAAATTTCTTGATCTCAAAATTCCTAAATATTTTAATATTTAAATTTCTGTGCTTCTGATTTTCTAAATTGCCAAGCTTTCGTATTTAAAAATTTTTTGATCTTTAAATTATTTAATAAGTCTTTAAGTTTTTAATTTTTTAATTTTTTAATTTTTAAGCTTTTAACATTTTAAACTTTCTAATTTCCAAATTTGTGAGTTTCTGAATTTTTTAATTTCTAAATTTCCAGTTTTCAAATTCCGAAATAGTTACAAATTTATATCATCAACTTTTGTTCTTTATAAATCTTTAAAGTACTTAGATTTTACCTATATGATCATGCTCGCTGTACATCAGTTATTATTCATTTTTCATGTTATTTGTACTTTTTTGTCCACCGTGTATATGACCACAGAATGAGAAGTTTATAATAGAGAGGGTATCACTTCATGGTGAGATGTTCCTGGAGCTGCGCAAAATAAAGATGATCTTATGCGGAACGAAGTATACCTTAAGCAGCGCCCTCTTGGATATCCGTTCATTCGGATATCTATTCACTTCGTATACCAGCTCGTCCGCTTCTTTTCCGGTTTGTCAAAATGGTAAGGCGGAGTGTCGGATTCGCTTGATTTATAAAATCAATAGTCATTGAACTCATCTGTTTCAATCATAATGAGTAAAATTTTTAATTAGTTTTCAAGAACGTTAACAAGTGTTAATGAAGAATTATTTTGTTATAGGGTATCGACATTAACCACAAACATGATCGGAAGGTTCGGCGTACCGAACCTAAATCACAAGATGTCTACTTACGACTTCTCGTCAAAGTAAGTATTTACACGTGCACATTTAGATTTTATGTTGTGTATCACATGTTTAAGGCGATACTAATTATACATTTTACATAAAGAATAACTCCTTGTATTAAATTACGTGATATATTTAAGTAGTATATCTTAACCAAAACACATTGCTGTATTGCTTTTATAAACACATGAGGTTGATAATAAACAAATTTATTTTTGCGAACCGCACTCTGTGTCAGTTTTTATATAAACTGATCCAATTTGAACGTTCGCTAAAAAAAATTTAGTCAACTTACCTATTCCGTCTTTATGTATCATACAAAAGATGATTATACTAGTTGACACATTGTTATATGAAAAAAGAATATTAATTCTTTATTTAAAATTGTTTGTAATAAAATATTATGGACATATAATATTATATGTGGTTGTATTTCATAATTATAATTTTTAAAATTAGTTTTAGAATGATACTTTTATAATTTGTAGGTTATTAGAATTTTATCATACCATATGGTTTTTAATTAGATTTTCATTACTCCAAACCATCTTTAAACCGTTTTTTGATTGCACAGCATTATAAATATGTTTTTCATGTTGTAGCTTTACCGCTTCCTGGCTAGGCGTACAAATGCTAAGTTTAACAAGATTATTCTCAAGAGGCTTTTCATGAGTAAAATACATCGTCCACCAATATCTCTTGCACGCGTTGTCAGGTTTATGAAGAAACCTGGACGAGAAAATGCTATTGCAGTAATTGTAGGCACAGTAACAGATGATGCTAGGATTTTTGAAATACCTAAACTTACAGTAAGTAGTGTCATCAAATTTAAAATATATTAGTTCCATCAGATAAGCATAGAGTTCGTATTTTTATTCATTTCCATTGATTTATTTGATTTTATGAAGGAAGTTTTATTTATCAAAAAACATATTTATTTGGTTTGCTTTATATTATAGGTTTGTGCCTTACGTATTACCGAAAAAGCAAGAGCTCGTATATTGAAAGCTGGAGGTGAGCTAATCACTTTTGACCAGTTAGCATTACGTGCCCCTACAGGAAGACGGACAGTCTTAATGCAAGGACGCCGAAATGCACGTGAAGCAGTGAAACACTTCGGACCAGCACCTGGTGTACCTCACTCTCACACAAAACCATTAGTGCGTTCTAAAGGTCGAAAGTTTGAAAGAGCAAGAGGCCGTAGGCGAAGCTGTGGATATAAAAAATAAATTTTGTTTATTTACCATCATTTATTGTACCATACCCATCAATTTACTTGCATGATTTAGACATTTTGTCTATTTCCACATTCTTTTATATAGCAAGTTACAGTGATCTGGAAAATAAATGTTGGTTTCACAACATCTTTATACGTTATTAATTCCTTCATTTATAGGTAATAGAATCCTTCCTTATTATATTTTTATTTAAGCATAAGGTTAAAAGTTTTGATCATAATCGTATTACACTAAAATGAAATTTGCATTTTATGTTGTTACACTCTTGTTCTCCTCAGGATTTTCGATTAGTTCTTCCGGTTTTTCTTCATCGTCAGATTGTGTTTCTTCTAACGTAGATATATCCGGAAAATATAATTCTGATTCCTCTATACCTTTTTCAGGATTTTCGCTTACATGATACGGCCCAATACCGGCAAACCTTAAAAATGCTTCGCATCCTACTTTCTTCACAACGCATACAAATGTTTCGTACCTATTAAGATTAATATGCATATTATTTCATTTTGAAATCATACACATTAATTCTACTGAAATTTACATATGTTTAGTATAAAGATAAAAACTATAAACAATGTTTATTAAAAAGAGCATTTTGGTACCCTGTTCTTTCTTTTATATTTGTCTCGAATTCTTGGATATTAGTCGCTATAAGTTTTGATTCTGGTGGTTTGTCAGATTTAAAAATACCAAAATGGATTATCTCATCTTCGAATTCTTCCAAAATTAGCTTCAGCTCGTTCTTCCGAGTGTAATCGTATTTAAATACTACGATAGGTACTTTTGCAGTCTTATCTTCGTACTACGAAATGTTTTATATAGTAAATGCTTAATCCCATAAATTTACTATACTTACAGGATGCATTTTGTTAGTATATGTGGTGAAAATCGTGCGAAAAACAATTGCTTTATTTCTACAATTTGGTGGTGTCCATACGACTGGAAACGATTGGTTTTCATTTTCACTTGTTACATAGGCAGGTCGATGACGTCCAGCATAACTTAATGAAAGAATTATTAAAAGTTATTAATATGAAACAGTAGTAATTACATGATTCAAAAAATACTTTATGGTAAACAAGGATTTTGTAATTAAAGAAATTAATATTTCATGTGCAATGTCGTAATTAAATAATTACATACCATTCGGCATCGAGAATTTCTTCCTCGTTGGGTAATTCTGGTACACCGAATAAGAGACTTAACAAGTATTTATGAACATCAACTTCTGATTTTGTTTCATCTATTTTTAATCGCATAAACATGCATTTACCATTTAGAAGCAAATGTTTTGCATTTGATGATAATACGTAGTCAGACTGTAAAAACATATGATGGTAAAAGTAATGTATATAACATGTTAATATTGTCATTATGTAGTAGCATTTAAAACATCGACATTTATTTCAGTAATAATACTGTGTTGAATGTATTACTTCATTAAATATAGTATTAAGAGTATTTTCAGTTAATCGTTTTCGAATTTCTTGTTCAACAGAATAATTTCCTGGCAATATCTCTTCGATTAATTCAGTATATGGCGGACTCGACTTCTTATCTCTTTTATGGCCTTCTTCGTCTTTAAACACCCACGGATAAAGTAGAAGACAAGTTTCTTTGCACAATGTAGTAACTAAATGTAACATTTCAGCTTCATAACGTGCTTTGGCCTCAGCTTCTGTTTAAGTAATAATTAATATTTATTAAAATATAAGTATTTCGTACTATTATAATAGTAATACTAAGAAGCTGAATATTATATTCAATGCAAAATGTAATAGGAGAATTATAGTTTTATAGTGATGATTTTTACTTTAATTAAATGTGTGCAGTAAAGCAATGTGCAATTCTGCAAAATACAACACGTTTTCCTTCAATCTATATTGATCTACACAATAACAAGAGTAAAAGTATAATATGCAATAATTAACTATATTTACAATAATTGCGAAAAATAAAATTATTCTAATAACTTGCATTTGCAAAAATATAATCATTTTTTTCTGAAAGAGACCTTTTCGTGCTCTTTTTTCTGCCTCCTTAGCTATTTTAGTTTCTTCAACAATTTTTAAACGTTTTATTTCTTCGGGGCTTCTTTCTGATACGCTTACAGAAAACCTGCACGCGTATGATAAATATAATAATATTTCGTCTTTCAAAATATTAAAAAAAAATTATAAGTATTGATTTAAAAGATAATAATTATGTTTTTTAGATAAATTAGTAGCGGCATTCATATAATTTAAATAATTGTTATTATCAGTCAAACTTTTGATTCTCTGTTTATAACAAATCATATATTTTACTTACTCAAACTCTTCGCCATTTTGTATTCGTTGTAACTCTGTCGTTAACATTTTTAATAACTGTGGACATTGGGCACCAAACATAAGATTCACCATTCGACCGTTCTACAAAAAAATATCTTATTTTAACACGCGCTGTATTATAAGTACAGAAATTATAACAATTTGAAAAAAGTAAGAATACACAATAGTAAATAAGTGTACATATAAATCACAGTAAAGTAAAAATTGCCACTTTAAGTATTTTCTAAATCGTAAGAGTCGAAGGAAAAATTGTTAAATAAAAGTTGTATGGCAAAAAAGAGATCGTCCATAGTGTGCCATTAATTTCGTATAGTAACTTCATTTTGATCTTACGAACGTCATCTTCATTTTTAAATGTAGCAATATATGTTATTTTATTAAATAGATAGATTGCATCAAACATTTTACGAAACAAAGTATCAGAATATAATATATAAAAAATGACAAACTATTTCACGAATTATTGATTTTTTAATTCTGTACTGTAATACTTTTTTATTAAAACTGTTTCGAAGAATCGACTTGCATAAAAAAAGACTGCATTTAAAAACATTAAAAAGTTAGGAAATTTGACGCGATATCATTTAGGAAAAAAAATTGTTAATACTATACAAAAGCTCCTATGTTACCCTGTCACTTTTATTTAACAAGTTTTTTTTATAACTCTTACAATTATTGATCATTCTTCCATTATTATTATTATTATTCTTATTATATGAATTTTTTAAAATTCGCTTATATATTTTACTTACGTGTATAAACATCCATGTTGGTTCACTTTTACCTTGAAAGCGCTCTAAATCCGTGATGTAATCGCATTTTGCCTATTTTATTATCATATATATATCGTATTAACAAATTATTAATTTATTTAATTTAGAAGTATGTTTATCATGTTAAATAAAATTACCGTAGCATAACTTAATGCATCACCTCCAATTTCCATCTTGACTTTCTTTAAGATGCTTACCATTCCCGTGCATGGCCCGCTCCATTCTGAATATACATCGACCACTAAACAAATATTAGTACAATATATGAAATATTACAAAATCAAATGTTTTATAGTATGTAAGTTCTTTTTAAAATTAAAGATAACAATCACTTCCTTCCATTGATTAGAACAAAGGATTGATTAATATGCACAAAGGGAACTTTTCTGGGAATACTACTAGAAGAAATAAAGAAATGCTTTATATTAATTTTTTTTACTAGAATGATTATTTAATCCTTTCTTATTGAACTAATTAATATTTACTCCAATTGTTTTCATATTACATAGTGAAAAGTGGCGATCAAAAATTAAATTGTATTGTAAGTACTTGTGTATTTAGAGAAAATACTTCTAACTTACTTCGATTCTGTTAATAATCATGCTTTCATAATTTTTTTCTTTTTTGCAATGGGAAAATGATTTATGATCACGTTATCAATTATTCCTTCGATATTATTAAATATTTGAGATGAAATTCGCGTAAAATTAAATAAGTCTTAGAGATTAAAAGATTTCTTAAATAATTTAGAATATGTTTATTTTCATTGTTCTAAGCCTTGTCAAAGTTTCCTTTAAGAAATGTATTTCTCTATTGAGAAAATAAAAGGTGTTTTTTTTTTTGCCCTTCTGGCAATTGTTTAAGACAAATTTGAAGCTCGTTAAATAATCAGTAATTTTATTTTATTTAATCGAAAAAAGCGAAACCGAAATTTATTGCGGTTTTTGAGAAAAGAGTTTATACTACTTTATTTGTGCCATCCTTTGTAATATGTATATTTTCCAAAACTAGTACTTGAATTAAAATTTAAAGTAATGATCTATACATTCCTATTAAACCTGCTCGTTGCAGAAGTTTCTCCCATTCTTCATTATTGGAAATTTCAGTTTGTAATGATGCCGGCGTTGCTTTTTTGGCCATCTTTCGCGAAGATTTTAAACCACCCTGTAATAATTTTTTGTACTTACGGTTAGTAACGCACAGTTCAATCTTGTTGTATATTAATATAATTAATAAGCATATTTATATAAAGTAATCAAATAAATTCAAAGAAAATTAAAAACGAAATGATTTTTAAAGAATTAAATTCTTATATAGTTTTAATATCAAAATATATTTTCTACAGAACATATTTTACAAAGTGTTAAATTAAAATAATTAAATAAACACATCGTTTAATTTCAAGAAGAAACTTAGAAAGTACCCTCTTTTTACGCATCATTCCTTGAAAAGTTAAAAAATCTTCAAATAAACTAATTTATTTCCCAATGTAAACGAATTTAAATTATAGCCTCCAAGATCTATCTTGAACAAGTTGTGGCGAATAACTGTGGAAGTCGTACATTTCTTAGAAGGACCATGCTGGGGACTGTACGGGGACATCGGTGACATGGAGGACACGCAAACTCCACCGATTAAATTGGCTTTTCGCTCCACAAATACACGCATACGTAATTATAGTGCATTAGAGAATCCACGATAAGAATTTCCTAACCATTACTAGCAACATGAAATATTAATCTTACACTGAATTCCGTAATTACAGTTGTGTTGTATTGATATTCTGCCTCATAAATTAGAACGATTTATTGAGTTGTTTGAATAGCTACGTGATACTGTTCTTAAAATACGAAACTTCTTCTAAAAGACATGAATTTAATTATTCTGAACCAAACGTAATATAATTTCATTTTAAAAAAGGTTTTACAGTAGAAGTTGTATAATGTAATTATTGTACCTCGGTATCGTTATGTTAACAATTTATATCATCTTTCTTTATAGAGCTATATAAATATTTATTGAATTTCTTATGTATTTAATTGCTGTACGTTTAATTGTTATCTAATTCCAATAAATTTCCTATTTTATTTAGCAAAAATATAGAAATTTGATTATATAAGAGCAACCTAGTTTATGGCGTTTTAATTCGCAATCAATTGTAATATTCGTCTGAGAGGTTTGTGTCCATCAATTTTATTTATGATTGATACTTAATAATATCATTGCGGAACAGCATGCAACATAAAAATGCTTAATCAATATTTACAGGTTTAGGAGATATAATGTTCACCTTTCACAAAGTGTTGAAACAACAAGCTGTAAATTTGTTTTAATTAAATGTAACATATGCTAAACATCATGAAAATTTAAATCAATGAATATTTTTATCATAAATAATTGTGATATTAACATGCTACTTATTCATAGCTTGTAATGTATGATTGACAATTGAAACCGTCACTACTTTATCAAATTTTAGTCTGCATCTTCGATTTGGTAGATATGTAAATTTAAGCTCACAATAACGTTCATACATATAACAAAAGTATCACACATAGAAACGTTATCATATTTAATTTATCATAGAAAAATTATAAGCTTTTCGAAGGTATAATAATGTAAAATTAAAATTTTAGATGATTATAAATAAATCTAATCTTATTTAAACGATAAAATTTATGTTTGTTATAATTTCTTAAAATGAAAGCGGTTCTTTTGAACGTACCGCTTCGATTCAAATACTGTACTTCCAGATGGCGCTAATATCAAATGGTCTTTTTCACGAATACACCTTTCTTCATTGAACTTTAACAGTATAATAAGGAACACATCTCTGTAGAAAATAATATATCGATTGATAAAATTATATTTGCAATCTTTATTGGCAGTAGATGTAGTTATAACGGATTTATATAATTTCTCTGTTGTGTGTTTTTACCTATGAAATCACTCAGTTTAGTTCTATAATATGACGTTTAACGGAAATTTAAAGATGTATCCTGTATATTAAATTTTATACCATTGAAAAGGTGTGATAGTATGACTTCTCAAGTTGTACTGATCCAGTGTTACCAATATAATAATAAATAAAATTGGTTGATTATAACTGTTGAAACAATTAGATTAATTTTTGGATTGTGGTTGAACAAATCATTGTTATTTATTATTTTAATGTCTTAAAATTTTGAATTAGATTTTACTTAACTTTCAATTAATTTTAAAAAACTTATTATGGAAAAGGGAATTGGTTCGTGATAGCAGTAAATGTTGATTATGCCATCTAGCTATATTTTACAAATCGCAAATACCAGGGTCCATGGTTTACTCTTCTCTTGTTCTCCCCTCCTTTCCTACCATCTCCTTATCTGAATCAGCTGATTATTGTTTTCGTATTTCTAACGAAACAGACCGTTGCCGTAGTTATGATACGTGATATCTTTTAACGAACGTCGTTTCGGAACATCCTCGTCGGTGCATTTAACCAGGCAACGAGTTTGATAATTTGTCGTAATTAGGAATTGTACCGACGAGTTTAATATTTCGAAGAAGAAGATTGACGTTTCGCGGGCGGGGTGACATCATTATCGTTTTCTGGTTGTGTTGTGTCAGTCACTCGCAGAATGACGCAGTAGAAGGTCGTCTCAGAGATGGCGAACTTCCCAGTATGAAAATACAATTTTATGGCGAGGTAAATTAAAGACTTTCTTTTAAATTCGATTGAAAACCTTTAAACTCTAGATATCTTTTTATGAAAAAGTAATAAGGACATCGATAGAAGCAATAGCTTTGTATGAGAGAACTATCTTCTACCCCTTTGTTCGATCAAGTGTCAGGGTCACTTTTTTAATGTTAGTGTATTTATTTTATTAGAATATAATATATTTGTATTCAGTTTTCGAATGAAAGTCATTCAGACTTTCGTTTTGTCGCTTTTTCGATGTTTGTATCTATTAATTATACGAAGAACGTACACGACGAACAGCTGTATTAGATTGTGTAATATTCTTTAACAGGCAAAATAAATTCTCCCACTACTTTCTTGTTACTCATTTATATATTATCAAATGTACAGATGATTATTCATAAATATTTTTATGCAAATAATAGTTGTTTCTATGATTGTATTATTTTCGACCTATTATAACTTTTTAGTATATACTTTTTTTTGTTACAAATTTTATTATTATTAATAGAAATATGTGTGTTGCATATACTTAAATTTTATATGAATAAATATTGAACATGTAATATATACAAATTGTTTTAAGTTATTGCATCTTTGATCTTTTAATTTTTATTTATAAAAATTCCTAATTTAGACTTGTATAATTATGTTTTGATATTTGTATAAATTTTTTGAGTTATTCAGTTAATAATAATAATTTTCTTTGTGTTATACGATACTTTATAATCGTTAAACAATATATACATATATGGATTATTACATAATAAAGTAATATTATTTTATGTAAATTACAAGTCTGTTAAGTATTATTGTTTTCAGGTACAAATCTTAAGTTTGGGAAAAAAAAATGTCTGCAGACTCTCCAAGGCGTGGTGCGCATAAAGGAGTTCAAGTTGTATCACCTCAACCAATAGTCGACCGATCAATTATAGACAGTGTTGCAGGAATTATTAATGATATTGTTCCACAGGTTGGTATCTTAATATATTATTCTTTTATTCTTCTTCTATTAAACTGTATCATTCATGTATAGGCTTATGCTGGAACTCAAAGTTCTGAAAATAAGGAGTCTATAACATGGGCAAGATTTGAGTATGCAGACATTAATGATCCAGCCTTGTATCCAGATTACAATGAAGGTTCTAATACACCACCTTTATTATTGGTGCTTGGTTATACAACTGGAGTTCAGGTTTGATGTCTTTATGTTTTCTTATGCGAGATAGTTATTATTTTGTGATGTGGCCCTTGGTATCATAACATAGTAGTTTGATAATCGAGACGCTCAGTGGAAAAGAAGCATATATAACAGTACTATAAATTTACTTGAAAATTAGTCTTTTTTTGTTGGCAGAAATACTAGTAGTTCATATAGATACAACATGTGCTTTCTTTTCACTGAACTCTTTGACTTTTAAACATTTATCATTATGAAAATTATTCTACATATCTTTACACATATATTAATATTGCTGGCTTACCATTATTTTGTATAGTAATATAAATTTAGATGTATCAGTTTTATTAATTGTAGGTAGTAAAGACATAAGATACAACAGTTTTTTAAAATATTTTTATTCGGTTCATGTGCATATATACATTTTTGATTCTGATTTATTGAAAGCTTTTAATCTTTAAAAATTTAGTCATTAATAATAGTTTAATAATAATAATAGTCATTAATAGTTTGTTTAACTTATTTATTGTTTGCAACTGTTCAACCATTTGATGACCTAAATGAATGACGGTATATTAGAACAGCAGTAAAAGAATATGATGATTGTGTATTATCCTTTAAACAACTTTCTCAATTAATTAGTGAATAATTACTATAATGTCAATTTTAATGTTATCATGATGCAAAAATTTTTTTTCTTATTCACTGAATTGGATATTTATGTTTATTTTATTTATTATCATATTTAGTAGAATTGTCTATTTTATTTAGTATTAAACTTTGTATATTGACATATAAATACAGTCTCTCTCTCAGAAATATTTAATATTTCACAATATACAAGAACTTTTGGAATTAAGCATTTTTTAATAGTTAATAGAGGTAGTCCATTAACTAATGCACATTCATTGTTTCTAAAAAGAAAGTAACTGGTTGAAGTAGTAAGGAAAGAGATAAAAGTTATCTTCTAAAAGTTTTTTATCTAACTTTTAAGTACAGTAATCAATTTAAATGCAACTTTATGTACACAACTCACTTAAGTCTATATAAAGTATAGTTTAAATTTTCATTATAGACTCAAATAAAATTGATGCTCACATTTTTACACTGTATTGACCAGTTGTAATTTTTTCAAAACAATGAACGTTGTTCTCTAATTTCTCTAGCTATTAACAAAATTCCTTAGAAAATCATTTAATTTAATTTCAAAAAAATATTTTCATAGAATATTCGAATAAAACTTTAGTGATAGATTGTAAATTAGATTTTCATTTTGTGAAATAAAACTATAATAGATAACGCAAAAGTTAAAAGAACTTTTTATGCTTATGTAATATAATTTTTTATAGTTAATATTAATTAATATTCTGAGGATGGTAGTTTAGTACATCTTTAATATGTTAGTATATTAGAGGAATTTATGAGGTATTTGTTATATATAATTTGCACTATTAACAAATCTGTGCATCTAGTATATATTGTATCCATTAAATATTAAATAATGAAATCTATCGTTAAATGTTCATTATTGTAATTAATTAGTCCGGAGTGAGTTCCAAATTAGAATATTATATCTAGTGATTATTGTGTGTTCAGAATGATTTGTATAATATTTTGTATAACATTCTTATTTAAATTATTTACATACGAATATGTATTATATTATGCTTAGATTGTTTATTGTATATGTTTTGTGTATCTTTGATATGTTTTAATAATGCTGTGTGTTCTAGTGCCAAGTGTTCTAATAATTACTCGTTTCGTCGTTTTTATGTTCTTAGATTTTATTCTTTTCATGATAACAACATTAAAATTAATATGATAAAACCATCTTAAAGTATGGTTATTATAATATTATTTATACATTTATAATAAAACGATATATTAATTTTTAATATAATTTTTAATATAATTTTTGAAGTATTGCTTTTTTAACTGATGAATAAGAAAGTTTGCAAACATGGAAACCTGTAAATTTGTTTGCAAATTTTGTTTTTAAAGGTAAGGTATGTAATGTTCATTGCTAGCTTTATTGCCTTAATTAATTCATTTGTTAGTTTGAATAGTTTATTTGTACATAATAATTGAATATCTAAGGAAATTTATATGTCAGAGTCTGGAATGTGGTGTATTGATAATTGTTTTTAAATAAGTATTTTTAGTTTATGATAAATTGTTAATTGTGGTTGCATAGATAATTTTATGAAATTATATTGTTAACTTATAAATTAGCTTATTTATTGATATAATTGTTGAATATAATAGTAAGTATGGCGAGTGTAATTCTGGTTTTAGGTGTGTAAACATGGTAAGACACTCTAGATATTTGTGTTTTTTATCTAAAGTGTGCACAATATGTATATCTTCTTATTCGTAATAGTCACTAGTGTGGTTAAAAGGTAATTGTAATGGATTCTGTATAATTGCAATTTTTGTGATTATATTTTTTTTTATTTTTGTTTATTAGGCTTAAAAATTTCAATTATATTTATCTTCGAAGCTGTGAAGTAGATTACTTAAATATTGAGCTATATACTCAAAAAATTAATTATAAATAATTAATGGTTTTGAATTTGAAAGATGTTTCAAGGCTATGATATGTTACTGATTATTTGATTAATATTTTTGAGTTTTAGATTCAATAATTTAGGATGGAAAATAAATACCTCATGAATTTCTCTTTACAGATTTGTGTAAAAGAAAATTTGAATATTTTAAAAATGCAATATGTAAACAGGCCGATTTATTATTTAAAAACGTAGTAATGTACAGCATACGATACTTGTAAATTTATTCAAATATAAATAATATTTTACTTTATATAGGTCTGGTTAATAACAGCAGCTGGAGAAGCAACTGAAGTGTTATCATGGCGTCAAGGAGTGGTTCGCACTCTGAGAATTTTACCGAATCCAAAGACTGATGATGAACATGCTGATCTGTTTGAGTTGAAACGGCCAATGGTGGCAATTTGTGATTCAGCAGGACCTGGACCACAATTTTGCAATATTAGTTTTATTTCACTAAAAACTGGGGAACAAGTTAAAAGCATCAAATTTAAGAATCCTGTTTGTGACATTTTGGCAAATAAGCGATCCATAGTAGTAACATTTTTAGAAAAAATTGCGGTATTTGATGCCAGAACATTGGATGATGTATTAACAGTTACCACCTGCTATGCCAGTCCAGGTCCAAACCCAAACCCTGTTGCTTTAGGAACGAGATGGCTTGCTTATAGGTAAGAATTTCAGAAACATTTGAAGATTATATTTATTTTACATGTTAACTAATTAATACAAATTGAAAAAATAAGTAAATCACGCTTCTTTAGAAAAAAATTTATAATGCTATTTCTGTATCATATTTAGCGAGAAAAAGTTATTGCCAGCGAAAAGAAGCAGTGGTGGTTGTGAAGGTGAAGGCGTTCAAAGTTATACTGCAACTGTTCTTTACGCAGCGAAATCATTGGGCAAAGGTTTACGTGGTTTAGGGGAAACTGTTGCTTCAAGTTTAACTGGTAACTCGGTATCGCCAGTAGTTATTAATAATACAGGCAGTGACGTGACCCAGCCAGGAGTAATTACGATATTAGATTTACAAGCAGCAAAGGAGGAAAATGAATCGGACGATGTAAATATGGAGACTATAGTTGCTCATTTTACTGCCCATAGTGATGCAATCGTTGCCATGACTTTTGACTTAAGCGGTGCACTATTAATGACCGCTGATAAAAGGGGGCATGATTTCCATGTATTTAGAATTCAACCACATCCAGGTGGACCCACTTTGGCAGCAGTACATCATTTGTACATTTTACATCGTGGAGATACTACTGCGAAAGTACAGGTACTCATTTTTCAATTAATTTTCAATACTTCAAATCTCAATGTTTTATTCATATTTTATTATAATAGGATATGGTGTTTTCAAGTGATACCCGTTGGGTGTCCATTTCTACTGTACGGGGTACTACTCACGTTTTCCCAGTAGCACCATATGGAGGACCGGTAGGAATACGAACTCATTCCACGCCTCATGTTGTAAATAGGCTTTCAAGATTTCATAGAAGTGCTGGTTTAATGGATGATGGTACCAGATCTCATTCCCCTGTGTCTCATACAGAATTGCCTTTGTCAGTGTATCCATATTCTAATCCAAGACTTCCACCGTATCCTCATCCGACAATTTTACATCCTCTGGCGCAGATACGACAGCCATCTTCGTTGAACCATGTAAACAGCCAAGTTCAACAAAGGTAATTGCAATTTATTTATTATTTATTTACTTGTTTAAATATTTATATTTTATAATTTAAATATATATGTAAATAATATAAAAATATATGTACTTTATACAATACAGTAGACCGCAACAAAGACAACGATTGCACTCAGACGATAGTGGAACATTACCATTAAAAATATGTACTTGTTTCGCACCGCCAAGAGCTTGGATGTATGCACAAAGAGAATCCACTGCAAAAGTTATGAAGAGAGCAGTCGATTCTTTGTTTATCATGGCGTGCCACGGAAATTTGATTCAGTACGATTTAGAACCTAGACCAGCTGCAGGTAAAACAAATTTTAACCTGAAATAAAACAACAAAAATTTAATATTAGTATTTGTTCAGATTTATCAATTAATAACATGTGTCTAGGTGTACCAAAGGAAAAAGTATGCGACGATACAATGATAGAATTAGAAGTTGAAGCTAAAGGCCAATGGCCTCTCCTGAGATCTCCAAACTCTTTAGAAATTGTACCACCTTTGTCAACATCTAGCCCTCTATTGAGTGTTACTACTGTACCGAAAGACATTCAAGACGGTGATTTAGCAGAAGATCGTTGGTTAAGTCAGGTAGAAATCGTAACACACGCTGGTCCGCATAGGCGACTTTGGATGGGTCCTCAGTTTGTCTTTAAAACTTACAATGCAACCAGCGGGTTAGTGTCTATAAACGTTTAATGTATACCGTGAGTTGCAATTTGTAGTATAATTGATGTTAGAAATATTCTATGGCTGAAAGTTAGACGATAATCAAAAACAGTAAAATTACGTTGATGGTTTTATCTTTGAGAAAAATGCATTTGAATTTTAATCAAATTCGTGTGCACTTAACCTAGGCTTCTTTAATGTAAGAGCCCCTACGTACAGGCCTCTCATCTCAACAGTTTTTTCTTACTGCGCGTCCTGAATGTCACGAAAGTCAATTGATGCTAAGGAGGCTACGTCCATATTTCTATGACAACGGTGATAGATAGTGGGAACAGCGTTCATCTCTAACTTGATGTACTACTGTTCTGTGTTACTAGTGTTATAGATTTCACCATGAATCTCTATTAGGACAGCTTTTGCACATGACACAATGTCAGAGCCTGTTTTCCATCAATATATACTTACTATCTCTAAACATAAATGTTTAATAAACTATTTCAGTTTTAATTAAGTTTGATTTATTATATTAATGGATATATTGTTTAAAATCTTTACTATTCTTCGGTAAACAAAATTGCATTCTACAAAATAAATTACGATGGGTTACTTGCAACATATCCTGAAGTTTTATTTTCTCTAATGCTGATTAATGCGGAATAATTCTTCATTTTAATTACTCAAGATTTGTAATATTTTTAAAGTAAACTGTTTTTTTTACGTGCCTTCATAATTCAAAATAATGGTATCTGAATTTCTACAATCTATAATATAATCCACAAATTTATTCATCAGATAGGTGCATATGTGTCCGATTAATTAAATGCATTTCACTTGAAAGTGATCATAACGTAGTTTTTTTATCTTTGATTTTGGTTTTATTTTGAGCCGCAAAATCATTCTTACTTCTTTTCTATCACGAATTACAACCTACGGTGTATACATTGTTTAATTTAGTTTTACATTAATAAAAATTTATTTTAATGCCAGAGCTCCTGTGAACCTGGTTGAAGCAGAGGCAGTCGAAATTGGAATAACTGGTGGTTCTCGTCCAGCAAGATCAAATCCAGTCAACATGCCGCATGCTGCGTCTAGATCATTGGTACCCGTGGTTATTGATGGATCAGGAAGTAAGTTTATAAATAAAGAAAAATGTTGTGGATATTTAAGTTTTGCTTACAACAATAAATCAACTCTGCAATAATTTCATTCAAATTGAGATTAATATTTTTTAGACACTAATATTTAATATCTTAATTATGCAAAGTTGAATCCTTTTCATACATAGTATGGGTAACATACAGCATACTAAATTATCTAAAATATCTGCACAATATTCACCATTTCATAATATATACAAGTAAATGCTAATAACATACCATATTCTCTGATTTTGGTCAATATGGGGAGAGTTCATTAGTTTTGTATTTAATATTTATTAATGTAAAAACATACAATGAAATTTACAATTCTAAAGATAAATTCACATTCAGAGTCTAAACAAAGGTATAATGCAATTCTGTGACTTGGTGCAAGAAGTACCAATGTCAATATTCATGAATTAGAGGTATTTTTCATTTAAATGTTAAGAAATTCAAGTGTATATCATGATTAATAAGTTTCTTTCGTTCAAATTTTTTTTTCTTAATACAGAGAAAGAGAATTAGAGATTTTGAATTATTTAGTTCACGAAAAATGTTGACATTGGCATGTACAAGTGTCATTGTCTGTTTTTTTTTTATGTAGATTATACGATTATTTACAAATAAAGTAACATATTTAACTAATTTTTGAAAAAATATGACATTGCCACTGTTTTAACTAAACGGCAGAATTATTATTGTGTGATTTACGTAATATTCTTTAAATATGTTTTTTAGGCAGTTACGAACAATCTCCAAGGTTCGTAGAAGCGTATGGCGATTCGTTAGATAGTGAAAATACTGGGGTCGGAGGTGGTGAGAATCAGTTAAGAGAAGATTTGGCAGAAGCTATGCTGGAAACATCGATCGCGCCTCATCGTGCACCAGGTAAGTGATTATGTGAAACGTGTGATGCTTTGCTTTGAAGTAAAAAATCCCGGTTTATCCCACTCGTCGATACTTTACATTTCTGGACGGTATGAAAGTCGCTAAGAACAGGGAAAACAGTTTTTACAGCTTGAGTTACTGACACGTATACACGTGATAATTATATATTTATATATCATTTATACAATCAAAAGAAACTTCTTACCGAATGTAGTAAACTCAATTATAATCTCACACGTTTAGTTCAATTATAATTTCCTGTCAGTAGTTATTATCACTTATTTTTTTAAAAAGACAATGTAAAATTTAATTATAAATCTATAACTACCGCGCAAATAAAAATCTTGTGGAGAGAGAAAGGAAAGAGAAGGAAAGAAGGAGAGAGAGAGACAGAAGGAGAGAGAAAAGGGAGGGAAAGAGTGAGAGACAGAGTGTGTGTATGTGTGTGTGTGTGTGTGTGTGAGAAAAAGAGAGAGGGAGGGAGAGAGAAAGAAAATAAGTGAAAGAGAGAGATACGATGCTTCTGCTTTCTGCATTTAATGATGGATGATTGTTAGGTTGTAAGTTTGTGTGCATACAGAACTGGCCAGAGGCAGGTATCTCCGTTCCTACCCTCCCTTTAATGATGTATTACATCTAATCACTAACAGCAGATACATTTTCCCAACGTCTACCCTTTAAGTCAAGGTAAACTGTTGAAAGGCTGCATATAGCCTACTAATCCTATAAAAATCTTTTCTTTTTGCTCGTAATGTCAACGAGCAAACATTGTATTACATAGTTCAGAAAACAGGAACAATCAATTTTGATACGTTTTATTTCGTTTCGAAATGATTGTGATACATAAAGTTTGCATTTTTGTGGTGTGCAGTGTGAAAATTTGACCAAACGTTATTTGATTCCTTGTTCTCTCACACACTATCGCAGCTCACACATATCGCAGCATATATATAAGGTGTCCTAAAAATAGTGCATACAAATAATTTTCTCCACATGAAAATAAATCGCAAATTCCTTTACGATTTTGCATCTTGCAGCTTCGTTCTGAAATTTGAAAATTAGGAAAGCGATTTCTACCGCGCTCGTATTGAACAGCTAATGGATGAGCATATGACCAAAATAATGTTGTCCTAGATCAGTATTTAAATGGAAAAGTTCATGAAAAAATGAGGATATACGTATACTCGGATTTTGTTTGATGACATAAAACGAACTAATCGCAGACCTTTTTGATATCTGAAAATATATCTTTATTATTTACGTGTGCCTTTAAATATTGACCTAGGACAATGTATTAACCACCTATTAAGGTGTCAACTGTTTGAGATGAGCGTACCGAAAATCCATTTTCCAATTTTCAAATACATACAAATCGAAAACGAAGCCATAGATCACAAAATAGTAAACTAACTTCCGATATATTTTCGAGTGAAGAATGTATAGTTTTACAGTTTTATACTATTTATAGGACATTTTCATATATGCATTATGTTGAAAATATATGAATGAATCATGTAGTCAAAAGAAACAGTCATCGCGAACATATTATAACACCAGTTCAGGTGAGAGACATTGCAATCTCATAAAGACCACAAAGTGAGGGAGAGACACTTGACTCGATGTTGATACCTGCCAACGGCTTTTTCTGTTACTAGGGAGGCGATCGGTATATGAGAGGGTGGGTCAACCGGTAACTAAAGTCGTCAACCCTTTGGGCACCGTGATTACTGTGTCGGCCGACGAGGAGGATGTAAACTCCAGTCAGGAGTTTGACTCCGTGGAGGAGAGCTACATGCCGGAGCCACGTAGGAGCGTGTGTGCCGAAGAAGGTCCGGCATCTCTCGGCGATCTCGAGCCAGAAAGCCAAACTCTGCGTGACCTCACTGAGATCTGCGCGGAAATGCGTGCAGCTAACGAGCCTGCGATAGACAGTGTACCTGACGAGAACATTCGCGAAGTGAAGGAGAGGAAGGCTCTTTGTGTCGAAATCGCGGCTATCAACGAACCAGGAAGCACCTGTATTGATTTCGGGAAGGAAGAAGCTTTTCATGATGTGCCGACTAGCTTGAGCCTCTGCGTTGAGCAAGGTGAGATACCTAGTAGCCCTATGACTCAGGCTAAACAAGCTGTTTGGTGTAAGAGATTCGATAAGAGAGCAGGCAAAGGTGCTCACGAGAGAAGTATCTCTGAGGCCCAATACGTGATGAACTGCGACGATGAAAGCGTCGTGTTGATGGAAAATAAACTAGCTCACGGGAAGAAAAACGTCTTAATGCACTGTAAGGCAGAAAGCAAGAAGACTTACGAGTCTGAAAAACCTGCAAAAAAATCGGGAGGAAATGGATGTAGAACAGAGACTAAAACAGTGATGAAGAAATACGTTCTTAAGGAGCACGAAGACAGCATCGTGATTGAAGATACGGTTCGCGAAGAGTCTAAGTACAATTGTAGTAAAAGAAAAGGTTGCGACAAGGATACGGTTGATAAAGAACCTGTAAAAGAGATTGCAGGCAAATCTAAAGGGAAATCGAAGTCTTCCGTGAGTCAAGAATGCAAAGAAACGAAAATTGAGTGCAGTACAGAAAGTAAACCAATTGTAGAACTAGAACGTATAAAAGAAGAGGCTGACAATAATGACGATTTTAAATCAATGATTAATGTTGACGTAATAATTAAAGATATAGATAAATACAAATCACCGCCATCAGATTCAACCGATGATTTCAGTTCCAGCGAGTATCACATAGTCGAAACCGCTAGTTGTGGCAAGGATAGTATCCTAATTCAATCCGATGAGGATATCGAGCACATTCAAAGTTCCGAATTACATCAATCTGAATGTATCGATAGTGATAAATACGCGGACATAATAAGTTGCACGAGTTCTTCGCCTCTTATGCAAAGGAAAAATAGTAAAAACACCATATCTGATGATGACTTGGAATACATTCACTCTTCTGAGCTAATCGAGGCTTCTAATAAAGTGTGCAAGGAAGATTTGAAGCAGGAAGCCAGCGATACTGACTTGATTACAAGTAAAAGTAAACAAGTGTTTTCTGATGACGATCTAGAACATATTCAGCACTCTGATATGTATTCTGACTGTGTTAGAGATGTTCCGGAAAAGAAAAAATCTCAAGAGACGGAACAGCCGCCGAAATCCAAGAGTTCGAAGAAAGTAAGGGACATTGTAGTGATTGAGAGCGATACATCAGCAGCTGATGTGACAGTAATCTTTAAACCAGTTGAAAGTTGGAAGAACAAGGGTACAGAGAAGAAAGAAGACCTTGAAGAATGCACAACTGCAAAAGAAACAGTTCGTTCGCCTGTAAACGAAAGTACTAGTCCTCTGAGAACACCTAAGACTCGATCTGCAAAAACTTCGCCTTCTAATGTTGTTCCAAAACGGTCTCAAGTAGGAATCGAGATCATTGATATTGACGCGATGAAAAAAGCCGAGATGGAGGTTTTCGTCGATGTAACATCTACTCCAGAATGTCAGGTTTTACCTGGATCTGAGGTCTGTGGAACTCGCTCAAGAAAATCTCGAAAAAGTAAAAAATCGTACGTTGAAAGTAACGTACAAAGTACTGCCGATGTTCCAGCCGAGTCTGTGAAGGCTGTCGAAGAAACTGTAAAGGACTCGACTCAGGAAGAGGTTCCCGAAGTTTCATGGAGCGCTGTCGTGAAGAAAAAAAGCGGTTCTCCAGTCGTGAAATCTGAAATGCGAATAGAGGATGATAAACCTGTTAAGCTAGGAGATACAATGGAATCAGTAGAGGTGGTGAAACGTACTCCTATTTTGGAAAAGATTGATTCTATTAAGAGAAAGGTACACGAGTCTCTGTCAAGGACGAACTCGCAGGTGATTGAAAAGCTTCGAGAGGCTGTAACTGAACTAGATTTTGAAGACCCTCCAGTTCAGACAGAAGTTTCTTGGAGTTCGATTGTGAAAAAGAAGAATGTCGAGCACGAAACTAAACAGGATTTCGATGTTGATCCAGTGGTAGAAGAGTCGGATATCGAAAACCGGAAAATTTGTCACAAACGCGTAGAATCTTCATCTAAATCCTCGTCAATGATTGAGGAATTGAGAGAGGCCGTTACAGAGCCAAACGTCGAAGAAGAAACTTCTACTCAGCCAGGCTCTTGGAGCTCAATCGTAAAGAAGAAAAGTTCGGAATCAACCTCACAGAGAAATTCTGAAGAAAGGGCTCGTAAAAAACTACATTCTCCCTCAGACTCGTTGGAAATCGACAGCAATCAAAAATTTAAATCGTCTTTGGACAAGAACTCCGAAAATTTAGTTGCTGAATCCATCGAAGAATCTTCGAAATTCTCGAGTACGTCTGTTGATCGAATTTCTTCAAAAGAGAAGGAAAGTACGAAGTTGTCAGTTCATTTAGCTTCATTAGAAGAAAAGGAAAGTACAAAGCTTTTAAAGTTTGACGCTAAGAGCGAAATTGTTGAGGAAACTTCGAGCGAGAATAAGAGTTATAGTATCACGAATCCCACATTTTCGAAAGAAGATTCCTCGGAACCTGAACGAGATATAGAGAAGAAGAGCGACTCTGAACAGGAGATCATACCAGAGCGTTCAAGTTCCTCAGACGAAATGAATGCAAACATTGTGTTCACGCATGCTGAGGGTGATTATTTGAAGAGTGAAACAGTGGAGAGAAACGTGATGAGCGGCTCGATCTCAGTTTGTGCTACGTCGAAGAAAGGCAACAGGTCGAAGAAAAAAAAACGCAGATGAGTAGAGGATTGCATGGATGTACCTAAGGCCAGCCTTGCCCTCTATATACTCCTAATGCAAATGACGGGAGCCGATTAGCAGGAATACAATGCCAGAACATTCTTCAGTTCTCGTTCGTCTGCTTAAATCATCTTACAGAAAGTTTCAATTATCCTGTAAGAGAGAAGGGGGGATGGAACTAAATACGTTTTGATTCGGTAGCAACGATGTCTGTAATTTTCGTGTGCGTCAGATTTCATATTTTTGAGAATCTTTTCTAAAACAAATCACAAGCTGTATTAGAAATACTGATTAGAATGCATTGACTTAGCACTTAAACGGTCGGCCATTAATATTCATACGATTTTTACATTTTTCAATAATTATTAACAACTTCTGAAATAAGTATTCATTAGAAAATCTATTTTTGAGGACTTTAGACCTTTGTTTTAACTCTTTCGCCGTTACCATAGTTATTTGCTTCTGATTGACTATTAAATAAAGAAAATAATTAAGAAATTAACATGAAGGAATAGAATTGAATAAAACAAGTTAAAATAAATATAAAATAGGTCGAGCAGATTAAAATTCGTAATGAAATAAATCATGAATCCGTGTGATGAATACAGATAAAATTAATTTTATTTCCTAAAAATTTTAATTTCTTCGTAGTATACATTATCGTAGCGAAAGGGTTAATTTTTGTTTATATTAAACTATTAAACGGTTTAGATTTTGTTATAATTACACAAATTTCATTTTACTTTTATAATGGTTATTTATTCAATAGTTAAGATATTTATTACTTTTTTCTGTGTGCAATGTAGTTCAAACTGTAAACCGCTGAAAAGTAGAATGTTACAAGGTACACAAATGAAACGTTCTAAAATCGTAAAAGAAATGAAGAACGTTTTATGTCAAGCTAAGTGCGATCACCCGTTACGAATGACGCTAACTGAATTAAATGAGTGCCGCGTACAGAAAGGGACAGTCATATTTAATTTTAGTTTCTTTTTAGATTTTCTTTTAGACAGTAATGTCGATTTTTTACCTATTATTTTATAAATTTCGATAAATCTATTTTTTCTATTAATTTAAAATCTATTAAGTAAACTCGTTTATTTATTTCTTCATCTGTTTATATTCGTATTAAGTGTAACAAGTAATTCGACACTGTCTATACTCTATTAATACTCGACCTGTCGATTGAGTGTTAATTTAAGTATTCTCGTATCGTGTTTCGGAAAAGATATCAGCACAAATAAACATAAAAATAATATATGTAAAAAGCACGAAAATATTATATAAGACACTCGGTGTAGTTTTTTAAGATGACGTTAAAGGGCAAGGCTGTACCGTTTGATGTACGTCCGTTTACGTTTCACTGAAACGTATAAAACGAATTAAAAAAAAAATGGGACTTAAAACAGAAAAAACATAGGAATTAAAATAGAGACACGTAGGAACTTTTGAAACTTCTATATCATATATATATATTTAACAGATACATGAACAAAGAAACAAAAAACACCGTCTGTGTTTCGAATAGTTTCGTAGCGATATATTTCTGTTTCGACTGCCTTATGTCGTCGAGTTAATTTAACTTGTGTGGTGCATATGAAAAGTGTGGTTTTAACTTTATTTCGATCGACATAGTTCGAAACGAATGAACTAGTCGCGAGTTTATTGGTAATTGGTCAGACACTTATTCACGGTGACTGCCTTTTGTTTGAATTATCATACGTTGCTACGGTAGGGATTACATGTTTCAGTTGCACAAAAACGCCTGTGACGTACAAACTGTTGAATATATGGTTACATTGAGATTATCGACAACGTTTATCTGGTTATCAAACGAAAAATTTAACATAATAAAATACTTGTTTTTCAAGTGAAAACAATATAACATTATTTCTGTTTTCTAGAAATTACTTTACAACTTTTTTATTTTTAATTTTTTTAGCTCTTGATAAAATAAGAGAGCAATAAAAATAGCCTACTTTATACATGATTTTTATTACATGTATTTGTCTTATTTATTAATAGATTAGTCAGTTATATACAACGCAGTGAACTAAAATCAAAAGGGTTGATATTTCTAGAAATTGCTAGGCAGAAATGAATAATTTGTTAGTAGGTAAAAAGTTAACAATTCATATGTTATAATAACAAGAAATATCATACTGTAGTTCCTTGAGGTCTCAGTTCGAAACGATTTTATCCGAAACATTTGATGATGAATGTTATAATTTAATACATAATATAGAATAATGTACAATTACACTTTAGCTGCATCTGATTAAACTGTAGAATCAGGTTACTTACCTTGGTCAAAATACTGCAGCTATTTAATTTATGTATAATTTTTCAAAAGAGTACCGAATATATTACAATGTAGCTGCTATAAACATAAGTTGTTGGTAATTAATTGATAATAAATTGCTGGTTATTCCAAAAATAATAGAAACATAAGAAATGAAGTAAAATTAATCGATTTTTTGAGGTAGCGTTCAAGGTTACCCTTTTCACTCGTACCTTAGCCAGATCTGGTTTAATCATTCGAAAAAGTTGACAGTTTTTAAGATTATTTATGACTGTATTTCTCATTACAATTTTTTTTCTTTTTGCCATATTTATACAGTAAGAAACGAAGTTTAACGTTGGTACTCGTAAGAATTCATAACCGTTAGTTTTACAGATGTTAGAATCGGTCTTGAATTAGAACGTTTGTAAACTAATCTATACGAGTATATCAAAGAAAATGATTCAAAGTTTTATGGATTTTAGATGTAAATTATATCTAATAAGAAAGTTTTCATATTGTATCGTTAACATTACAACTGCCTGCTAGCTTCAGGTGTGCGATGGCGCACTGTATACTTTGTAATAATGTCGGCGAAAGTCAGTGACAATGATACAGCATCTATAAAAATGTTACAGAAGGATACGTTCGTCGGTGATTTCAACGTACAGTCTTCGTCGCGGTATAGTAAGATCGTAAAATCCTTCAGTGCTCAAAGTAAGAAAATTAGATCAATAAAATAGCAACTTAGAGAAGATGAGATCTTCAAACTTCAATCAAGCTTGTATAAACAAATGTTTCGTTAAATGTTAACATGTTCTACGTATTACCATAAAAGCAGCATACGGTTCTGGAAACCCTGGCATTATTCAGAACTTTCCGAGAACTTAAATTAAGATCTCACTATACTGTAACAGCGATTGTAACTTGTGTTTTGTACGTCATTGAGGCATGCTTTCCATGAAAGCCGTCTGTATGATTTAACAAATTATAGAAAATTCGTTCAAAAAATTTTTCTAAACGCTACTGAATCGCGCCATTTTTAACGAATGACAATTTATTAGCCATTTCCTCGGGCATTTTACCGCGTAGTTGATGCAGTTCTCATTATCGAGAAACAATTAAGTATACGTTTCGGATTAAGTTTACGCGAAGTTTTTGACGTAATGTTAATACTAGGAAGTACATATAAACACGAGTGTCTTGTTCTAAAATAACAGTATAGCATAATCACATATCGTGGGTGATTCTGAAAAAGAAGTTTCTAATAAATAATTCCTTGCAAATGAATCGTATCTAGATTATGGGTATTCAGTAATGACTTTTAAGTTTCAAATTCAGTTATTTAATTTTTTTTGTAAAATTTAGTTTGTCAGATAAAAGCATGCCGAATATACTTTGTAAATTATAATGTCTATAAAATAATTTGTATTTGTATAACTTATTAGAAATTTTATTTTACGTGGACTTTAAATTTTTGATAAAGGAAATATAATTAAAAAATTTAATAATTTGAGGATTGAAAGACTTGGGAGTTAGAAAATTGGCAATTTGAAAATTTTTAAGTTTTGAAATTTCAAATTCATTAGAGTTATTGTGAACTTAGAAACTCAGACATTTGAAAACGTAAAAATTTATAAATTTGGGAATTAACAATTTTCATTTGAAAGCCAGAAATTCAGAAACTAAGGTACTTTGATAATTTGAAAACATTCGGGAGTTTTCAAATTTGGGAAATTAGAAAACTACAAAATTAGAAATTAGAAAAAATTAGAAAATTTTGAAAGTTCGATAACTTCGGAAATTTTGAGGTTTTCAGACTTGATTTAATGAACTTCAAAACTTTGGTACGTTTTGAAAATTAGGAGCTTTAAAGCATAGAACCTTCGAAATGTAACGACTTGATAATTAAAAAATTGGGAAAATTGAAAATTTGAAAGTTTGAAAATTATTGAATTTTAAAATTTAAAAATTTATAAGTTAGAGAATTTTAAAATTTGAAAAGTTATAAATGAACAATTTCTGAGCTTTGATATTTGAAAATTTGAAAATTTCGGATATTTCATCTTTGATGGTAAATAATCTGGAAAGTAAATAACACATTGAAAATAAAATGCAATATATAATTTTAATTTAAATAATGCAAGTAATTTTTCTATAGGTTTTAATTTTTAAAATAAATTGAAAAATAACCGTATAAATTGGTTTGTACTGGTTTTCCATTTCGATGTGATTAATATTTCAATATTTTTCAAATATTGTGACGTAATAATAATTTCCAAATATCTGATTATCCACAGTTGAAAGACGATTCACTTGCATATATGTATATGATTATTAGGTCTTCTTTGTTCAGACTCATTTGTAGAAAATGTGATTAATTTCTTGATGATTTATAATGGCAAAATGTGTATACTTTTACACACGATATTTATTCTTTAAACGACGAACGTACAAATTCGTTCTTCATTGTCCACTTGGTCGAGAAATAACAGTGTGTTTCCGACACTTTTCTCTTGTAACGAAAGAAATTCGTTAATGGTAAGAGTGAAGTAACGCGATTGACAAAGATTAGTGCATAAGTATTAAACTGAAATTGTATTTCATTGACTCTATATGCAAGTAGAGCTACAAAAAGAAATTAATATGTCTTCTCAAGGGAAATTACTTTAAATCCAAAGGATTTTAGTTGATTTGTCATGAAAATCGTGTGAAACGGGTGAACATTCACCGTGTATTTATCGTAAGACCATCAATCATGTAAATTCGTGATGCACGTTGGACGTTTGTTGTGTAACGTATAACGTTCTTGCATTGTATACGAGCAAGAACTTAAAAAAGTAAAAAAAAGGAACAAGATTCTCTTTATATATTTTCCATTAATTCAGGATCTTGTTTCAGCGTGCTAGACTATTAATAAGTTATAGTAGTTATCGAGGTATACTTGTGTATGTATTCTTCTGCCTCGTTTATCCACGTTTTCGATGTAATTTGTGTTTTGACAGTTTCGATTCGAGTGCAACAAGTTAACTTTAACCCATTGGATCGAATCCCTTGCAATTAGTCGAAACTACGGCTGTGTATTAGATTTTTGTGGCGTTTAGTGTTCCATAGTGCAAATTCTTGAAATTATTAATATTCTTACATCAATGCTCTTAGAATTTATGAAATATCTTCATAGCAATTTTTCTATGGATCTAAATCTACTATTCGTACTTTCGCAGAAAATTTAAATCTAAAGTTTTTCATTTAAACTTAAAAGTTCTCAAATTCCTCATTCGCAAAAAAATGTAATGAAATTTGCTGTTATTAAAGATTTCGT